GCTAAACATAATAGTTGTAACATAAATTATCTTTTCTTCATTTAGTCCAAACAAATTTGAACTTATTATCTCAGGATTCAAGATTTTTAAAATGCATAATCGAGGATCATACCTTTACTTTTTCTGAAGAAAAGAATAAATGGATGAAGTATCTTTACATCACAAGGTGGAATTGAAACGGAGACCTTGACAATTCATTAGTGACGTGCAATTGTGAACTCCTCATCCATAAAGAATACTAGTCATCTTCCTCCAGCTTTCCACCAAAGGAGGTGACGTTGACAATACGAGGTGAATCAGAAAATTGAAGTTAAGGTAATAATTCTTGAATCATCTGTTTTGCCCCATAGTAATTTGTTTTTTGACATTCTTCAACCACATCATAAGTTTGAGTTGCTACCTTTAGCTTCTCAACGAATAGGTGTTGTTCTGGACTTTTAGTTGTAACATATTTATTCATAAACACTCCAACAACTGCTGCATTATTCTCCATTACAACAACGTGGAAATATCCTTAAGATTGTTGGAAAAATTGGATGATTATGGAGAATAAAATATTTAGCTTGAGGCGTGTCAAATACATTATCCTTAAGGATATTTCGCTCACACCGTAATAAATAAAATTAGGTATATCCCCCAGGATTTAACAAGCTCTTCTAGTATAACTAGAAGCAAAAACAACAAAGATTAATCAGAAGAAAACCCAGCACAAAAGAAAAGGAAAGAAAAGTTTTAATTTTGTTCGCATTCCTTCATGAACACAATCAGATAGTTTTATATATAGTCCAAAGGAATTGGACATCTGATGTAGTAAAAGAAACGTTAAAATCCATTAAGGATTCATTGCCATCCAACGTTATAAACATTTAAAACCAAAGAAACATAATTATCAAAGTTAATGATATGTTATCAATATATAGACGTTAAAGAAACAGTCATACAAGACCAATCTTTGGTCAAATTCAAAATTACAAAAAAATATAACTGATTTTGATACTCATTCAATGTTAATAAAACATTATATTCAAAGTTATTCTAATTTTCAGCTATAATATATTTAATTTATTGGTATAATAAAGACCCACAATACAAAAGAATGACATCAATTTGAATATTTATTTTTGAGTTATTAAAAAATTATTTTTCTAATGGTGTCCACCATAAAAGCATATACATAATGAGGTGTGATGACTGAGAAGTGCAGATGGGGTCTACTGTTCAGGGCTAAAGTGTCAGCACAAAGAAAGATAATCAAAGCTGCTACAGTAACATTTGATGTCAACCAATTAGAATAACGAACTCAATTTAAATTACCAAAACTACCCTCGTCAACAAACAGACATGTTGACCGAGAGCTCTCTGCTAACTCTCACTTATAAGATAGTAGAAAATAATATCAGTTGAGCGTAAGAGCTTGATCGATTCCATTATTAAAGTTATTACATTGAATTTATACACGTTTGAAAATATAATTTTATAATTAATATATGTTTGAAATTTAATGATTTTCACTCACAAAAACACATACAGATACATATATAAATATATTCTAAATTTCGTGTTGGAAATGATGAATTCAGTTGAATCCACTAAACAATTCTCCACCCGCCTCCCATTTGGCACAAATGAACGTAATTGCAAATCTGACATTTTTCACTATATTCTTATGATTGAGCATTCTGCTTATTCAATTCGGTTATTACATATCAGTTGACTAGTGTTTTCCCTCAGTAGTCATTGGCCGGCAGTATAAACGTTCAAGAATTATATTAGAACTAATTAACATCTGAAAATGATTAAGAATATTATTGTTTTTATGAATAATAATGTAGACACAACCATACGAACTAACTTTTTCTGTACCAAGAGAAATATGATTATTAGAGTTCATGTGCTCATGAGTCATAACGACGACGATTACTATTATTTTTAGCATCTTCTGGGTATTTTTTTTCCCGACAAAAGCAAAACAAATTCACAGACCAAAATTATATTTATGTTTAACTTTGTTATATAGCCTCCACAGCACGTGTTTCAGGTTCAAACAGCAAGATTTTAGAAAGTTGTTAGAGTAATGAACATGAAAATACTTTGACTAAGAAATAAAGGATTATAATCCCGGGATTAAATTTACAATTAGTTTATCTCACATTTAATAGAATTTTTACTTTCGGAATTAATAATTCAGGGACTATCTATACTACAAAGGTAATATTATATTTTTATCCCATATTGTGAGTGAGATAAAAAAGAGCAGCTCGATGCACTAAGTTCCTCCTATGCGCGGGGTCCGGGGAAGGACCAGACCACAATGATTTATTATGGGTGGGATAATAATTCCAAAATTATTAATCATGAGATAAAACACCAAAATAACAAAAAAAGAAGAAGTTATTTTCCGAGGTTCTTTTAACAATGTTCTTCAATGTCCAAGGTTAAAATTAGAAATAAAAAGTTTATCCCAACTTATCTAATATACAACTAAAAACACATTTGATATTATATCAGTATATCTCCTTTTTTATTGTCCAATAAATCAAATATCTATTAATAAAAGTACATCTACTGAATAATTCTACCACTACTAATTCCGATATTATAATTAATCCCATCATTATTAATCTCTCGATAATTGTTCCCCAACCAAACAACCTCTAACAAGTGCAACTTGTGAAACAATGAAGCAAAAGCCAATTCTCGTTTGATTCCTCAGCGTACTACATTATAGATTGCCATGAAAAAGTTATACAACCTGCAAATTAAAGAAGAAATGATTGCTTAATTATTATTATGTGAATTCAGCAATAGATTTTATTATGCGGAGAAACTAACGAACGATGAATGAGACAGTTCAAGTCTCAATCATATGCGAGGAATTAATTCAACTTTATTCCCCCAATTATTACTAAATTTGGTACTAATGATATACTCCATTCGTTCGCTTTTACTTGGCATATATACTAAAAATTTCATTTTACTTGCCACTTTTTTTTGTAGGTAATTAACAATTTATTAATCACCGATAATCTTTACATTTCATAGTCTGCTTTATACCTCAGTAGCTATATCTATCAAAAAACTCAAGAAAACAATTTCATCCTATATACTATGTCTAATGAAACATAAAATATTGAACTAAACTACTGATTCCTTTTGTAGTTCGCACATTACATATGTAGGCTATTTCTCTAGTTATACTATCATCACTTCTACTTCTCTGTTGAAATATTCTCATGTTCCTTTCAATCCAGACACCATGGGTTACCTCTGCATAAACCATTCTGTATAGTTGTGCTCCATAGGATCTGCCCTTAGCTCTCTGTGTTATCCATTCTTGATGTTGCCCCCAGTTATCTCCAATTACTTCTTGCCTTCGCATCCATTGTAGTATCTTTTGCCACACTGTTTTTGTAAAGGAGCAGCTCACAAACAGATGATCTCTAGTTTCATCATTCAGCTGACATAGGGAACAACTTGGATCCACATTGACTCCCCATTTAATTAATCTATCTACAGTTAGAAGTTTACCTTGCAACTGTAGCCACATTGTGAATATAGCTTTTGGTCTAGCTTTGTTTTTGAACATCATAGACTTCCACGCAACTCTTGGACTATTTCCCAGTAACTGATAATAGAACTGTCTGATCATGCTCTCTTTGGCCTGCTGCCTATGTTGAATTTGTTGTAGTACTGTTCTGGCACTTAGAATCTGTCTCACCATCCAACTTGCCTGTTGTGAGATTGCTATATCTTCTATCCTCTTATCTTTGATGTAGTATGCATGAATCCATCTAATCCATAAACTATCTCATTTGCTTGCTACATCCCAACACAGTTTTGCTATAGCTGCCCTGTTCCACATTTGTAAATTAATCAAACCATAGCCCCCTCTTGACTTAGATGTACACATTCTATCCCAAGCCACCAGGGATTTCTTTGTAATGATGTTGATCCCAGACCAAATGTAACTTCTGCAATAAGCCTCTATCATCTTCATAACTTTCATTGATAAGTTGAATAGTTGTGACCAGTAAGATTGAATACCAAATAGGACAGTTTGGACCAGCTGCACTCTTCCAGCATAATAGAGCTTTTTGGCAGTCCATGAGGAAATCCTTGCAACTATCTTTTCTATTAAAGGATGCCACTGTATCAGGGATAGTTTCTTGGTAGCAAGAGGAGTACCAAGATATTTAAATGGTAATTCTCCTATTGTGTAGCCAACTTTTGAATAATTTCCATCTTAGTACTCTATTGTACTCCTCCAAAATACACTGAGCTCTTTTTCAAATTTGCCTGTAAGCGAGACACTTGAGAGAAATTATTGAAGCAATCTTGAATATGAGAGACAAAATTGAGATCACCCCTAGAAAATATCAAGAGATCGTCTGCATAACTTAAGTGGGTAATCCCTAACTTTGCACACCTTGGATGGAACTTAAACTCTTTCACCTCCTTCAATTTGTTAAGCTTTTTGCTGAGATACTCCATTACAATTGCAAACAAGAAAGGGGATATGGGATCACCTTGTCTTAGGCCTTTGGCTGGAGTAGTCTCTCCATTAACCATAACAGTATAGTTAACAGTTTTCACACATTCCATTATCCAATTCACAAATCTTTCTGGGAATCCCATTTCAATCATGACTTGCTCTAAAAAACTCCATTCAACTGAATCATAGGCTTTTTGGAGATCAATCTTGATCATGCATCTGGTAGAAATGTTCTTCCTTGTATAAGCTTTGACTAGCTCATGAGCTAGTATAATGTTATCTGTTATCCTCCTTCCAGGTATGAAACTAGATTGAGATTCACTTATTACTGATGATATCACTTGTTGTATTCTGCCAGCTAGGACTTTAGAAATTAACTTGTATAACATGGTGCAACAAGCGATAGGTTTGTAATCTTTTATTGTACTAGGATTGGCCATTTTAGGGACCAATGTAATAGAGGTACAATTCACTACTTTATACAATTTTCCAGTACTGAAGAACTCTTTCACTGCTTTATACATGCCTTCTTGAAGAAGTAAGCATTGTAGCCATCAATTCCTGGTGCTTTATCGCTGTCAATAGCACATAATCCATTATAAATCTCTTTGTCAGTCACCTCAGCACATAGAGCAAGTTTCTGCATTTGTGATAGTTTTGGCCCATTACTCATGTTCATTCTATCTATTACAGGCAGAGATTGAGCTGCTGATCCCATTAAAGATTTATAGAAATCTACCACTTCCTTCTTTATGCTGTCAGGATGAACAAGTTTATCTCCCATGATTGAAACAAGTTCATTTACTTGCTTTCTCTGACTTCTTTCCTTCATAACAACTGCAAAATACTTGGTATTAGAGTCTCCCAGTTTGATCCACTTAGTTCTTGCTTTCTGCCTTAATACACTTTCTTCAATAGTGGACCATTTTTCTAAGTTCTGCAACAGGCTTTTCTCTTCTTCAATCAGATTGTCATTATATGCTATAATAATCTTCTGCTGCACCTCCTCTAAGGTTGTTCTAGCTTGTTCAATCTTCATACTAATAGTTCTATAGTGCCCGGTGTTTAGGGTCCTAAACAAAGGCCTTAACCTCTTCAATTTTATCCAAATGTTCTTCATTTTGTCCTCAGTGAAAGATTGATTCCAGACTCTTCCCACAATGGGTATAAAGCTTTCATGATCTACCCAGATATTAAAAAATCTGAAAGGTGTTTTACTAGGTTTAGGAGCTGAGTAAAGGGTTAATAGCATTGGACTATGATCAGATATGTATGGCAATCCATATTTAGTAGCCACATGACCCCACTGCATCATCCACTCATAATTGCCAAAAGCTCTGTCAATTCTGTTGCTGATCCTTTCTACACCATGTTGCTTGTTTGACCATATGTAATAGTCACCTATCCATGCCAGTTCATTCAGAGTTAGATTAGCTACACAGTCAGCAAAATCCTGCACTTTTGTATATGTAATGGGGTTGCCCATCAGCCTGTCATTGGTATATAGGACTGCATTGAAATCCCCACATAGCAACCATGATTTTGTGTTTCCTGTTGCAATGTCCTTCAAACCACTCCATAATTGTTTCCTTTGCTCTATGGTATTGTAACCATATATAGCTGTAATTGCACAATCAATTATTCCCACCCTATCTTGTACCAAACAATGTATGTATTGAGCTGCAACACTTAAGATAGTAACATTATACCACTGCGAGTTCCAAGTATTCCTCCCATTTGAAGCATCCTGATAGTTGGTAGCATAGTTCCACCCTGGCAGTATATTTGATATGATTTTACTAGCATTATGTTCCTTAACTCTTGTTTCTACTATGACTGCTAGTTTTATTCTTTGATTACTAATATATTTTTTTATAACTCTTTTTGTTTATACCTCTTATTCACCCCTCTAATATTCCAAAATATCCACTTCATCAGCAAATTAGTCTACCTCTTCCTTTAGCAGGAGGTACACTACTCAAACACCATGATCCCTTAGTCAATGGTCCAAAAGAATTCCTCATAGCAATGGCTGATAAAGCTGGAAAGTTTGTCATATCCAGTTCAAACCTGTCCTCTATAGCTTTGCCTTTGTCCATTGAGTTTTCCATTATGCTCTGTTGCTGAGAGGCTATCTACATGTGATCCTGTTGAACATTTGCATGATCTTCCATTGGTTGGATATCCTCCTCATCTGCAGCTTTTCTTTGGTTAAGCATCTGTGATTCGCTCTGCTGTAGGTTATCCTTCCCTGCTGGATTAACCACTTCTTTCACTGGGCCTTTAGTTCTCCATTCCATTGTTACTTTCTTTGCTTCTCTTCTTTTGCCTTGTTGTTTCTCTTGTTGTTTATATTGTTGTTGTTCCACACCACATCTATGTCCAAACACTAAGCATTTCTAGCAAAATTCTGGTTTCCAGTCATACCTAACATCTTGTAGGAATGTCTTTCCATTAGGGTCCATTACCTTTATCTCAGTAGGCAATTCTCTGGTAATATTTACTTCTATCAACATCTTTGCAAATGATACTCTCTTTTTCTTAGCAGTACACTCATCTGCATAGATTAGAGTACCTATTGCACTAGCCATTCTACTCAAAGAGTTGTGACCCCAACCATTCATTGGAAGATTAGGAAATTGTACCCATAAGGGAATTTCAGTGGGAAATTCCTCCTTGAAATCAAAAACTGGTGTCCACTGCTTTAGTATAATAGGTCTATTGTTGAATGAGTAAGGTCCTGAATAGAGAATTTCTTTCATATCATCAATAGTTTGGAATTTGACGATATAGTACCCTTTCTCATGTAGGTATAAATCCGGCTCTACCACATTTGCCCAATTTATCCCAATAAACCTTTTCATAGCATTATAACTCGGAGGATCCCCAATTATATAAGCAATTATCGCACTCCTCCACTTCTCTGTTTCCAGATCTACCTCCATTTTGTCTAATTGAACCATAACTTGACCATCAATAATTTGTGGTGGTATGTAAGTTAGAGACATACCATTTTCTGCTGCTCGATTCCTCCGAAATAGATTTGTCCATGCTTTTCCTTGCTTATTAGTTTCTTCCTTAGGCTGATTATCCTCCATTGGCAGCACTTCACTAGCTGCATGTACTGTTATCACTGTTCCATTGCTTGAGCCAGGGATCTCCTTATTTCCATGTTGGATCTGCACCTCTTCAGATCTACTAGCTGTCACCAGAGTACTCAGATCAAGCCTCTTCTTCACTTTTGTACCCATCAACGAAGATTCAGCTTCACAACTTGCACTTTGTTCTACCTCTGGTGTAGCTACTTTGGCTTGCAACATTTCTTCAGCTTGTATTCGAATTCCCACAGAGCTACCATAGATAGCTATGGGGTTCTTCCTGGGTTTTCCTCGACCCCGTCATCGTCCCTTACCTATACCATTCGCCATGGAAACACCAGGCAGCACACGTTAGCTATCGTGCGCCGAGAGCATGACTTGTTGACGAGAAGTTTTCTTTTTCCATTATGTCGCAGTTTTATTCAGCTAGTATCACTTACTTGCCACTTTACGCATATTAAAAGAAAATAAATTTTTTTCCTGTTATACCCACAGTATTTATTACTCATTTCAAATCATTTTCTCAAATTCAATAAAATATGCATCAATTAATATGAGTATCATGGTAAATTATGCGCTTCACTTATTATTTCTTAAGGGACATAAAAAGTCAAAACGTGTCAAGTAAAAGTGAACGGACTCCGTTAACTTTTACTTGTCCAATATTCTAAAAATAGGATTTCACTTTTACTTATCATTTTTAGCATATCAAGAGAAGGCAATTTCTTTTTTCGTGTTATACTCACAATATCAATTACTTATTTCAAATCCATTAAAAATATGCATCAATTAATTTGGGTACTATTATGGTTGTGAGCACGTGATTTTTGCCTCGCATGATTTACTCCTACAGAATTCTTAAATTTAGGATTTTCCTTTGATTATTTGATTTTTAAGAATTAATTGCATAATTTTCATGTTGTTTGCATTTTTTTATGCATATTTAATTTATATAGTATATAGAAAAATACAAAAATAGTGCATTTGCATTTAGGACCCAATTTTTATATTTTTAGGATAATTAGTTATTTAATATTACAAAAATGAAGGAAAATCACAAAAATAGTTCATTTTGCATTTTCAACTTTTAATTCTTTGAATTTGTCATAGTTTTCTTCTAAATTAGGACTTAATTAATTTTTAAGAAAAGCAATTAGTTAGTTTTTGAACTTAAATCAGGTTTTGGATTTTTATTTTTAATTTTGTTTTTAACAAAAATCTGAAAATGAAACAAAAAGAAGGAAGAAAAAGAAAAAGAAAATAAAAGAAATTGAGTTCTTAATATAAAAATCCAATTTGGGCCAAATTCACCCCAAGCCCAAACCTTTGCACCTGAAACCCGTCCAAACCACTCAAATACCGAGCCTAGACCCGTGTCCAACTCGGTCCGGTCACCCCCTCATCCAAACGACCCCGTTTTGCCCTCTACTAATCACGACCATTGGATCTCACTAATCCAACGATCCAGAACTGGGAACCCTTTAGATATAAATATGTCCAGACGTTACCCCCTATCAAACGCATCTCTCATCTCACCCCCTCTCCTCAGAGACTCCGCTGAGCTCCGCCCAAAAACCACCGACCGACATCTAAACGCCTTGAAATTAATACCAAGTACTCTCCTCCACCTCCACATCCCAAATCCTCGAACGTTTCTCCTCAAATCCACCCAGAATTCGTCGAATTTTAGATCAAAACTCGAAACCCTAGCGCCGCCACGATGTTCTCCGGTGGCGCCGCCGCCTCTGTTCGACCTCAAATCAACACCCTGAGACCTCTTTCCCTCCCTCATTCTAAATCCTAACTCAGTTTCCTTCAAACACCTCCGGAGTGGTTCAAATATCAAATCAAAGGTTTAAGCCCTGAAAGCCTAAAATTGAAACTACACATGCAAGGTCAAGGGTCCAGTCTCATGATGTTTTAGGGCCAATGTCATCGCGAAATGATGTCATTTGCCTGTTCTTGACAAAGAACAAATGATTGACATTATCTTGCGGGGTAATTGAGAAGGTCAGTCCAGTCCAAGGTTGAATCGGTAAGTTTCCATCACCCTTTCTGTTTATTGTTGTTGTTCCACATCTGTCCCTTTGTTCTTTTTCTATCCTTCTTCAACTGGCTTCTTCTGATTGAATTTAGAAAAAACTTCAATTTCTGAATTTAGGTTTTTCTTTTTCTTTCATTAGTTATTTGATATTCATGATGTGCCGTGCTAGTTTTCTCCTTTGATTATGTTTGTTTTGCTCATTTGCCATAGTTGTTTTCTTTTTATTTAAGTCATTTTTGGTTTCAGATTTTTCGTTCTCTTGATTAATTTTAAATCTCTTTTTTCCTTTATTCTGGTTTCACTTTAAATCTCTAACCATTTTTGGGTTTGAATTTTATTTGGACTTCAATGGACTAGATTTGATTGTTGATTGAATCAAAGACCAGAGAAAATGGAGTTCATTATAATGGGTCAACCCAGGGTCAACTTGACCCATAACCCATCTGAGACTTAAGAGTAAATTTCAGGGGTAACTAAGGGTGGTTTGGGTAAAGCACTAAGAGAATCTCTCATGTAACTACCTGAGAAGCTTCCCAAAAGTTGCATAATATACCTACTTGACCAACAAGTCAGAAAATAAAGGACTAAGTAGCAAAAAGGAAAATTTGAAAAGGACTAAAATGAAAAACTGAACTCTTAAGGTTGCCCTAGTAATTTACCTATAAAGGCATAGTTACTTGGGGTTCAATTCAGATTTAGAGATTGGAGGAATTGGAAAAAATCTAAAGAAAACTCAGAAAAAGAGAACGACCGACAACTGAAGAAAAATCACTGTTCTATTGCAAGTCTTTTGTGATTTCTTAAGTTCCTACTCCGTGAAAAGGTCTTCTGGTTAATATAGCTCAAATGGATTGAAATTGGGTGTTTGAGTATCGGTTTTGAAGTTTGCTTTGTCATTTATTCGAGTGAGGTTGCCTTTTATTGTTTTCAAACTCAATTTGGTTGAGCTGGTGTTGCTGTTGTTTGCTGGCTGTTGTTCTGTTGTCGATTCCCTTCCTTCCCTCTTATATGCTTTCCCAGATACCTTCTTAGCTTATGACTGAGGAGTGATTTTGAACATATAATAGAGTGGAATTTTTGTCAAATGAAGATTGCATTCAAAGCTGACTTTCCCCTGTTCCTTTACTATTTTCTATGTTCTGTAATTAGTCTTTGAACTATAAGTGTCAATAAGGTTCTCTTTTCTCTGAAATGGTGTATGTGAAAGTAACCCTCAGTAGTGCGTTACATTTCCACATAACTATGGACCGAGATTGAGGTGTTCAAATGGTCGAAACTGTCATGTTTCTTTGTGATTCCATGGTCGTAACTTAGAAGCATGTGGATGTAGATCATAAACCTATTTGTTCATAGCTTAGTTCCTAAATCCCTGAATCCTTGAAGTTATTTCTCCTGCTTATGTTACTCTTTCAACATTAGTGATGAATCTGTTGTTACATTTGCTACTTAAGTTTTCTTATTTCTTTCTGATTATATGCTGTGAAAGTTGAAACTATGCTCTTAAAAGTTTAGTACCATGTTGGATTTGGTGGTAGAAAATCTATGTAGTAGATACATATTTGGTTTTGAAAATGGTCTGATATGAAAAAAGGGAACGATGGTCGAAGTTATTTTTTAGATTAAAGGTGTACTGATCTGATATGGGTTGTGAATAAGCTGGTTAAATTGGTATTAGTGTTTAAGTTTCAGAATGTTTAGCTAGCTCAAAAGTAAAGTTAGTTCAATTACATGTTTTCACATAGTCTTGGTTACCTTGAACGTAAATGATTTTTGCACAAATGTTTGGCTTTAAAAATGGGATCCAATGCTGGCTCAACCGAAGAACAGTCCATTACGGGCTCAATGGCACGCCCCAGATCGATGAAGTATTCACTGCTTCGATTTGGGCTCATTTTGGACCTAAGCCTGAAGGCATTGTGAATGGATTGTTTACCCTTTTGTTATCTTGTTTTGTTTGTTTCATCATATG